GCAAGTTGTGATGGGAGCAGGGTAAATGCATAGAGAATCTGAATATGGGCTATGTTTTCAAAGAAAATTGGCAGACTGAGTATTGTGTTCTAAAAGAAATCCATTAACCAGAAAAAAAAATTAACTTACTTTCAGAAACTAAAAGTCACAATCACCCAAACTTATGACTTCAAAGAATGAAGCTATCCCAGGAGAAGTATCTTTTGCCTCCCTATAACATAATTACAGGGTTGATTAGATTCTTTAAAGAGCTTCTCCATTAATCCTGTATTCTAACAATTTTTTGATTTAATTAAATCTCTCATTCAATTATCAGGTGTATAATTTGAGTTTTCCACAAGATTCTAAGTACTTTGCTATGTACTATGTATGTGTTCATGAAATAATTCTTGACCTTGAGAGTATTACTGTCTTAGGTTGATCCAGGTGTAGAAAGAAAATTTTGGAAAGTATCTAGACAAGCAGAGATGAATGCAAGAGTCTGTTCATTCTTTACATCCTTTCAATTCTTTCCCTTTGATCACCTACCTTATTTCAGGGCTTATTTGCAGGAGCCCTGGTGGCGCAAATGGTTAAGTGCTTGCCTGCTAACTGGAAGATTGGTAGTTCGAACCCACCCAGTGGCTCCACGGAAGAAAGACGTGGTGATCTGCTTCCGTAAAGATTACAGCCAAGAAAACCCTATAGAGCAGTTCTACTCTGTCACAAGGGGCTTTGAAGTCTACTCGACGGCACATAACAACAACAACATATTCCTTCCCACATCAGGTATTCTGAGATATGACAGATATTTTGTTTTGAATCCCTTTCTTCTGTGTCTTCACTGGCCCACATCTCCTCAGATGCCAGCCTAAATTCCTTCCTCCCATAAGTTTTCACTGCCACCTCTGTCCCAGAATAGCTCAAGGTTTCAAATGTTTGATTTAATCAATCCCTTTATTTTTTTCCATAGCAGTGATTACAACTGTAGTAAATGTATGTTTTAGGAAGAAAGGCCTGGCAGTCTACTTCCAAAAACTCAGCCACTGAAAACCTTATGGAGTACAGTTCTGTTATGACATACAGGGGGCGTGCTATGAGTCAGAACGGACTTGACATCAACTAGTTTGATTTGGTTTTGTTTGGGTACCCAGCACTAGGCTTTCATGAGCAGAAGCCTGAAAAACAAGACAGTGGTTTGAACTCTGGGGACTCTGACTTTGCCGTAGACTGTCTGCTATAGACAGTGCCTGCACCTGGGCTGGAACCCTCAGGTACTTTGATTGACAATCACTGTGATTGTTGGATTTTCTCCTAATTTCTAAAAACATTCTCTGTCTGGATTTCATCCCCACCCCTCTCTCCTTTCCTTGTTTCCTAAGGGGAATTCTGGGGGTTAGGGTAACCAAGAGCTCAGGTCACATAGACCCTGTTTTGAGCCTCGACTTTGCTTGCCACTTTACTGGCCTTGAGACCTCATGTAAGCATGTAACTTCACTTTTGAGCCTGTTTCCTCATGTGTATAATGGGGATGATGATACAACCTACCTCACAGGGTTGTTATGAGGAGTCAATGCTGAACGCTTAGCACAGTGCTTGCCCCATGGTAAGCCTCAGTCAATGTGAGTTGCTGCTTCTTTAAGCATTAGTTTCAATCTCTTCAGGAGGTTGAAAACCTGAGCATTGACACCCTCAGGTTGGGCAGCCTTGACCCAGACAGAGCTGTTCTTGAAAGTCCAGGCAAGTAGGTCCTGGGGTCTGAGTGAGACACAGCATGGGGGTTCAGGGGTTCTAACTGTTCTCCTCAGCTCCAGTACCAATGTGTGTTATTTCTGATCACCACGGGCTGGCTTCTTATCAGTGTCCCACCGCTGTGTGCAGGATACATGGAGGAGACAACGGTGGTTCTTCATATTAGTCTGAGCAAAGCAGCAGGGGTCAGAAGGCAGACATACTACTAAAAGGACAGTACTCTGCCCTTTGCTTAAGGAGCCTGCAGACTCCTTCCCTTTTGGCACAGAGTAGGGAGCTGGCTGGACCATTTCCCGCTGTTGGCCTGGGTTCAGGAATTTGTTCTGGAGTTCCTTAAGTCTGTAGCTGACACCAAATTCACAGCTGAGCAGTTGCTTCTATCCTTTGGAGTGTGGATTGAAGAGGTGATCCAGGCAGATGGAGCTGTGACCAGTGGGGAAATTGATTGTACTGGGTTTAGAATCATCTTTGTTGTAAAACCTTTTGTTCTGGAATAAAACCCAATTGGAAAAGTGAAAATAAATAAAAAATGTATGTTTTACCCCTTATCAGATATAAGGTTCAGATAATAGGTCTCCAGACTAAGAGGAACAGAAGCCAAGGCTGGAAATGCAGGTTCATACCTGTGTTCCTTAATCCTATTCCAGTCTGTTTTTTGCTGTGTTTTGGCTCAGAAGCTGGTATCTGAGGTGGTTTGGCATGCAATTTGAAGGAAAAGCAAGAGGAAATATTAGATTACTATTTTCTAATATAGTTTCTCACACAAGGCTCATGCTGCCCTCTGACCTAGGTTGCAGAACCCACCACCACTCCACACATATCATCGGAAGACAGGCTTCCTATGTATAGTGGTTCTCAACTGTTTCTTGTTTTTGTAGGTATTGTTGTGTTGTTCGTGCCAAGAATCTATATATCCCTCTATAGTTTTTACTGGTTTCAATTGGAGGATGAAGTTAGTAATCTGTTCCTGTTTGATATTTTGACCCAATTGACTGTGAATGGAGCACTTGTTTAGATATTACCACTTCAGACCCATTGTTTCTCTGCTACTTCAATGACATAAAGTTAATATCTCAGAACATCTCTGATTTTCCTATATATTCTAAGTTGGAAAGGTCTCTGTGATGCTGCCTAATACCCTACCTACCTAAATATGCCACATAGACATTTCTACATCCATAGGAATAACTTGACTGGGCCTGAACAACACCTTGAGCACAGGAGTCTCGGGGAGGATATGTATCCACATTCTCAAACACCTAAATACACCATGTAGCCATTTCTTCTTCGAGGTTCAGACATCTTCTCTGGATGTCACTAAAAGAGTGCCTGATCACTCCCCTCTTTATGCACCATGTGAGCAGGAAATCTTTGCTTGTTCTAAGCATGAGTTCTCCAAACATTTGTTCCATAATAGAGGATCTTTATCCATTTTGGGTTCCAAACCAGAAGCAGACCATTATTACTTTTGATTTCTATTGCCAAGTCTACCCAGAAGGAAAACAAAAACAAAAAACACAATGGCATGATTTGTGAAGATTGTTGAGAGTTGGGAAGGTATTCTTATGAGAAACCAAATATATTGTTATTTTGAGATGTCATCTAACTAAAGATATATTTTAGTCACCCAAATCTTTCTAGAATAATAAAAACATTTAGTTCAACTGATTTTGAAAAGATAATCACTCAAGAAGCTGCAGTCATTGAGATCACATTACTATTTGGGCTAGAAGTGAATAGAAAATCTTCTTTTATAAAGTGCTTCCATGACACCTCCATCTGGGGTTTCCATCAACAGGGTCAGCATAAAGCAAGAACCATCTGTGGATCAGAGCAGACATACAAACCATTGCATACCTAGTGCAATAACAATGATGACAATGATATTTTGTTTGTTGAGCATTTACTGGGTGCTGGATTCTAAAACCTCCATTATTTATGCACACTGTCTTATTTATTCTTCATAACATCTCCATGAAAATGCTACTCTAAGTCCCATTTCACATAGGGTAATACTGAGGTTCATAAAAGTTAAAAATATCCCCAATGCCAGGAAAATAATGAGTGTTCAGGTCAGCATTCAAATTCAACCTTATTTAACTATAATACTTGAGCATTGATTGTTTCAAGCATTGATGCAGCTATTGCAATGTCTGCAATTTTTATCTAAAAATTTTGGAATTAACAGTGTTCTAGTTGGGGTTTATTTTTATAGCCCAGGTTATGTAAACCTTTCAGTCAGGAATAAGGTGCCCCGGAGGAGTTCAGAGGGTGTTCTATTTATGAAACCACACTCTATAAATAGGTACTTCAAGCTGCTTACTCATTCAACTATCTATAAACTATTGGCACTGTACAATTTAAATTAATGAATACCATAAATAGAAAAATGGGAACCAACTGACGTAGTATGCTGAATATTAAAAATGGGCTTTTATTAGTGAAATTAAAGGTAGTGAAGATGTGTGATTTTACAACACTTACTGCACTTTCTTAAACAAAGCATAAAGGTCCAGCTAATGGTAATACCCACCCATTGTCATCGAGTCAGTTCTAACTCATAGTGACCCTATAGACAGATTGAACCGCTCTATAGGGTTTTCAAGGAGCCGCTGGTGAATTCCAACTGCTGACCTTTTGGTTAGCAGCCAAGCTCTTAATCACTGTGCCACCAGGGCTCCAATGGTAATACACTAGGTGGAATTTTGAATAGTTCTGAATATGGTTGAGAACCCTGAAGACATCTGATACAGACTAAATGATTAACAGAATCCTGCTTCTAGAATTGAGAGAATCCTACTAACAAAGTGATGATAATGCACCCAAAAGGACAGACAGCTTGGTTTCCTGGAGCATGAACATCAGATGATAGGAACTCTTTTATGTATTTGCTTGATGAGAAAGTTTATTTAATAAACATCCATAATTATTTGTAGACTTTCTTCCCTTATAGCATGTAAGTTTCTCTAGCAAACAATAACCTCAAGAGTTGTAGTTCACCATGTTTTGTTGGGTCAGTTTTCAACAGATGTAGAACCAGGGCTCCATCCCAGACAAATGAAATTTCAATCATTTGAGTTTTGGCTTTTTCAGAGTGAAGAGTGTAATGCTGGCTGCAGTGGGAGCAGAGAAGGGTTTAGAGAACATGATTCTGTATTGTTATTACTGACAAAATAAACACAGTGTAGACCCTGTTCAAAAGAAAAAAATACCATGCTGCATCTCATCTTGGAAACTTTTAACCAAAATAAGTATCTATTTTCTTTTAGAAAATGAAAGACACAGTCGCTCAAACTGATGTCAAAAGGATGAAACTACCCCAGGAGCAGTACCAGTTGCCACAAACTTTAATGACCATCACACCTCCACCTAAGAACTCTCTTCAGCCTCCTCAGATGTTTCTACTCACTCCATCCAAGAGTTCCTTAACTGAGGTAATAACTTGCTGTTCCCATTCCTTTTGTCTCCCTACAACATAGTAATAGGGTTATCAGAATCTTGCAAGAGCCTCTCCTTTAATCCTATACTGTAGCAGCAATTCCTTGTTTTTATTAAATCATTATTCAGTTATCAAGTTTATAATTTGAGATTCCACAAGAATCTGAATCCTTTGATATTTATAATGTTTCAATTCATAAACCAACTCCAGACCACAAGAAATTTCCTGTGTTATGTTAGTCTGAATGCAGACATAAACTTTGGGAAATAGTCAGACAAGCAGAGATAAATACAAGAGTATTTTCATCCCCTACATCCTTATTTCCTTTCACTCTTTTCACCATTGATCAATGACTTTAATTCAGGGATCATTTTCAACACTCAGTGTTCTTTCCCACATCAGCTGTTTTGATGTATGCTACCTCTTTTGTATGGGCTACATATTGAACAATACAAGAAGCATCAAAAGAAGATGAAACGAATACACAAAGTCACTGTACCAAAAAGTATTGGGCAGTGTTCAACCATTTCAGGAGGTAGCATATGAACAAGAACCAATGGTATTGAAGGAAGAAGTCCAAGTTGCACTGGAGGCATTGATGAAAAACAAGGCTCCAGGCATTGATGAAATACCAATTGAGACATTTCAGCAAATGGATGCAGCACTGGACTCCTCACTCATCTCTGCACAGAAATTTGGAGGACAGCTATCTGGCCAACAGACTGGAAGAAATCAATATTTGTGCCCATTTCAAAGAAACGTGATCCAACAGAATGCAGAAATTATCAAACAATATTCTTAATATCACATGCAAGTAAAATTTTGCTGAAGATAATTCAAAAATGGTTGCAGCAGTACACCAACAGGGAACTGCCAGAAAGTCAAGCCAGATTCAGAAGAGGATGTGGAAAGAGGGATATCATTGCTGATGTCAGATGGATCTTGGCTGAAAGCAGAGAATACCATAAAAATATTTACCTCTGTTTTATTGACTGTGTAAAGGCATTTGATTGAGTGGATCATAACAAATTAGGGATAACATTGCAAAGAATAGGCATTTCAGAATACTTAATTGCGCTCATGCAGAACCTGTACAAAGACCAAGAAGCAGTCATTTCAAACAGAACACAGGGATACTATGTGGTTTAAAATTGGGAAAGGTGTGCATAATGGTTGTTGTATCCTTTCACCATACTTATTCAATCTGCATGCTGAGCAAATAATCTGAGAAGCTAGACTGTATGACAAAAAACGGGGCATCAGGATTGGAGGAAGACTCATTAACTACTTTTGATATGCAGATGATACAACCGGGTTTGATTAGAGTGAAGAGAACACGAAGCACGTACTGATGAAGATCAAAGACTAAAGCCTTCAGTATGTATTACACCTCAACATAAAGAAAACAAAAATCATCACAACTGGACCAGTAAGCAACATCATGATAAACGAAGAAACGATTGAAGTTGCCAAAGATTTCATTTTACTGGAATCCACAATCAATGCCAATGAAAGCAGCAGTCAAGAAATCAAACAATGCATTGCATTGGGCAGATCTGCTGCCAAAGACCTCTTTAAAGTGTTGAAAACAAAGATGTCACTCTGAGGACTAAGGTGCGCCTGACCCAAGTCATGGCATTTTCAATTTCCTCATATGCGTGGGAATGCTGGACAATGAATAAGGAATACTGAAGAAGAATTCATGCCTTTGAATTATGGTGTTGGCAAATAATATTGAATATACCATGGACTGGCAAAAGAACCAATAAATCTGTCTTGGAAGAAGTACAGCCAGGGTGCTGTTTGGAAGTGAGGATGGAAAGACTTCGTCTTGCGTACTTTGGACATGTGATCAGGAGGGACCAATCCCTTGAGAAAGACATCATGCTTGTTAAGGTGGAAGGTCAATAAAAAGAGGAAGAACCTTGACAAGATGGATTGACACAGTGGCTGTAATGATGGGCTCAAACATAGCAATGATTGCGATGATGGTGAGATACCAGGCAGTGTTTCCTTCTGTTGTACATAGGGTCACTATGAGTTAGAACCGAGTTGATGACACCTAACAACAACAACAAGTATCTCCTACTTCAAGGTCATTGTTTCTTAGAAGGGGATCAGGGTGAACAATAAATGTGGGAAAGAGCACAGATATGGAGGCTAGTAATCTCATGGTCCTGACGCCTATCGTTCTCCAGTGGCCTTTGGCCCACTTTAGACTTTCTTTTTTCCTTAGCAACGATTGCGTGGATGGCACAGGACTGGGGTGTATTTCCTTCTGTGGTACATGGGGCCTCTGTAAGCTGGAACTGACTCGATGGCACCTAAAAACAGCAACAATAAACTCCTTTATTTAAAATCCATTTCTTTTGTGTCCTCACTTGCCCAAATCTCTTCAGATGCCAACCTAAATCCTTTTCTTGTAGAAATTCTCACTGCTATGTCTCTTCTAGAAATCTCCATTGAAGAGGATCAGATTGGCATAATGGATAAGAAAACATGGCACATTTCTATATTGTCTACAAGAGACCAATTTTAAATTAAAGGCCACAAATTGGTTGAAAGGATGAGGAAAAAGTGTTCTATGCAACAGAAACCAAAAGAATGCTGGAGAGGTTATATTAATATGAGATAAAATAGATTTTAAGTAGAAAAAAATGTTATGAGACAAAGAAGGGCATTATATAATGATAAAAGGATCAATTCATGAAGAAGAGATAATAATTTTAAATACGAATGCACGTAAAAGTAGATCCAGAAAATATGTGAAGTGAATACTGACATACGTAAAGGGAGAAATAGACAGTTCTACAACAATAGTTAGAGACTTTAACACATCATTTTCAATAATAGTTAGAATATTGAGACGAAAGCCAACAAGGAAATGGAGAACCTGAACTACAGTATAAACTAACAAGATCTAAATGACATTTATAGAACACTTTGCCAGATGACAGCAGGATATACATTCTTCTCCAGTGTATATGGATCATTCTCCAAGGTAGACCACATGTTAGGACACACACACACAAAAAAAAAAAAACTCAATAAATTTTAAAGGATTGAAAATATACAAAGCTATCTGACAATAATGTAATGAAACTAGAAATTAATATTACACGGAGATTTCACAGATATATGGAAATTAAACAACACACTATTAAGCAACTAATTAGTCAAAGAAGAAATCACAGGGGAAATTAAAAATATTTAAAGACAAATGAAAAAGAAAGCATACCATCCCAAAACCTATGGGATGCAGTGAAAGCAGTATTCAAATGGAAATATACCTGAAAATACCTATATTAAAAGAGAAGAAGAGTTCAAAATAAAAATCTAAGTTTATACCTTGAGAAACTAGAAAAAGAAGAGCAAACAAATCCCAAAACAACCTGAAAAGGGGAAATAATAAAGATTAGAGCAGAGGTAAATGAAATAAAGAATAGGAAAAAATATAGAGAGAATCAACAAAACAAGTTGCTTCTTTGAAAAGATCAGTAAAATAGACAAACCTAGCTACTAGACAGCAAAAAAAAAGAAAGAAAGAAAAAAAACCAGAGAATACTGAAGTAACTAAATTCAGAAATGAAAGTGACAACATTGCTCCTGACCTTATCACAATTAAAATGGATATAAGAGAATACTATGAAAAACTGTATGCCAAAAACTTGGATAAGCTAGATGAAATACAAGGAGTCCCTAGGTGACACAAATGGCTAAATGCTCAACTACTAGTCAAAAGGTTGGTGGTTCAAATTTCCCAAAGGCACCTCAGAAGAGAGGCCTGGTGAGCTATTTCTGAGAGGACACAACCTTGAAAATCCTATGGAGCAATTCTCCTCTGTAGACATGTGATTGCCATGAATCAGCATTGACTCAATGGCAACTAACAATAGTAGATGAAATGCATGAATTCCTAGAAACATACAAACCACCTAAATTTTCTGAAGAAATAGAAAATCTTAACAGACCTATAACAAGGGAAAAGATTGAATCAGTAATCAAAAATCTCCCAACAAAGAATAATCCAGGATCAGATGGCTTCATTGGTGAATTCTACCAAACATTTAAAGAAGAACTAACAGCAATTCTTCTCAAATGCTTCCAAAAAAAAGAAGAAGAAGGAGTCGAGCACTACCCTGATACCAAAGTCAGATAAAAACACCATAAGAAAAGAAAACTACAGACCAGTATCTCTTATGAATACAGGTACAAAAATCATCAAAAATACTAGCAAACTGAGTCTGACATACCGTATTTTTAAGCAAATAATGTGTGCCTTCTGTGTTTGCCAACTGCTGCCTCCTCCCAGGAGATATTTTTGTAAATATGCTATGCTATTTTTTTTTTCTACCACAACATTTTTAAAAAACTGGCATTGAGACACTTACTAAAATCCTCTCAGGGGGAGGAAGTAGTTTGCAAATAAATGCAGAAGGCATGCATTATTTGTGTAAAAATATGGTATATTAAAATGATTATCCCACCATGACCAAGTGAGATTTACTCCAAGAGTGAAAGTGTGGTTCAGCATAACAAAATCAAGCAATGCAATACACCACATTACTAGAATGAAAGAAAAAATATTTACTTGATCACCTCAACACTGAAACAGCATTTGACAAAAACCAACAGCCTTTTATGATAAGTTACTCAACAAATTAGAAATAGAAAGAAAATTCCTCAACATAATAAAGGACATTTATAAAAAAAAACTACAGGAGGCAGGGCCAAGATGGTGGAGTAGTCAGATGCTTCCGGTGGACCCTCTTACAACAAAGACATGAAAAACAAGTGAATTTATTATATACGACAATCTAGGACACCCGAACATCAAAGACAAAGTTAAGGAACTGGACTGAGTGGCAGGGGAAGGGACAGGTGGGAAGCAATGAGGAGTTGCCAGACCTGAGCTGGCAAGAGCCTGAGCCCTTCAGGCCTGATCAGCTCATGGGTGAGCGGTGAGGCAGGCAAGCAGTGGTGCTTGGGCAGTGC